ACACTTTTGTCAACATTTGTGTTGTTTATTTTGGGGACCAAATGCTTGTCAGCTCTTTTGCATAGATAATCTTGTATCGTCCTGATATTCCTTATATATTTCACATATTTATTTTTTGCAGGGTCCAATGTCATGTACTTTGCACGAACTGCAAATCGTTCCAAGTGTTTGTCTTCATTTGTAATGTATATCATGAAAGGAATAATCGAAGGATGTTTCTTCATAAGCCCCATCTGCACACAAAGATCAAAAATCAATACAAGAACAAGAGAAGTTAGGGGAAATGAATACATCTGATTGCAAGGAACAAACCAAAATTCTACTTACAACAAAATTGAGGCTTAAGTGAACACCCTCAACAACTACAGACTCTTTCCTTTCTTCCCATGCAGTAATCAGTCGGTCTAGACTGTCAATGACCATCTCACTTTGTGCCTTGAATCCTTCAACAGCCATCTGTTTGGGACTGATCAATTCAGTACTAGTAGAACCATTCTCCATTGGTTGAGCATCGGACTTGCCAGCTGAAGAACCATCCGCTAGCTCACCTTTAGGAAGTGATTGAGCGGTGCCTGCCAATTTTTTTGCTTTCTTCTTAGCCTTCGCTTCTGCAACTGCCACAGGATCCAAACACTCCCCAGCATGGTAGGTCGAAGCCCAGAGTAGAGGATTTTGCTTCTCATTTACAAAACTCCTCATCATGTGGCGAATCGAGTCAGTTGAAATCACAGTTGTAACTCCCAACCTGCTACCCTGCATGACATTATCAAAAGCACTATTGGAATGCAGTTACAAAATTAGTTGACATCACCCATCCACACCATGACTAAAATGAGATACAAAGGTGAGTAGAACTACACTCAAATAAAACATTAATATGCAAAGCAAACATACCAGCAAAGCAGACAGAGTTGATTTGCCACAACCGCTAGTGCCACACAACAGCACAGTTACAGATTCCTTCCTCTCTCGGATTCTGCAGTGAAGACCAAATACAGTTACAAGGGGAGACAAGAAGGTGCTTGCATCTGATTTGTAGACCCCAATCAAAAGATCCAAGCATAGGACATTTAATACCTACTATCACGACCCCCATATCACATATGCGCATTTGCAAACAGGCATTAATAATGTAAATTTGTTACATTAAAAACTTATGGTATGTTTATGATAATGAACTGTCTTCTTGTCAGCCAAGCCACCAAAAAGGGAAAAAAAAATGCAGGCACCCAATTGAACAAGTCTCTGGAGACAATGTTGCTTGAATAGTGTACCTCTTAATTTATACTATGAAAAATTTGTCATGTCAAACAAGTCAAAATAAATGAAGAAGCATAAACTATCAGTGTCCAAGCTACCACAATCACCTCTAGAAATTACAAAATGAATTCAAATATGCAGCAATTAATTATATGCAATGTTTTTTCTTTTGTTTTTTTTTTTTCTGAGGTAGTTATAAGATCTCACACAATACCTGCAAGCCAAAATCAAGTCAGCCCTCTGGTTTGGACCCACATACTTATATTCAGCCAAAGCGTCACAGACAACGTCTAAGAAAGTTTCTCTTTTAACAACAACAGATGTGCGTCTTTTGTACAACTCAAATGGTATACTCTTATTTCTATCACCATTGGCCGGACGGACATCTTCCTTCTCAGAGTTTCCTTTCAAACCATCAGAATTCAATGTCTCACTTCCTTCTTGAAGTAGAGAGTTGTAAGAAGACTCACTTCTTATCAATGCAAAAACCCTTTGGCTAATCTGAGAAGAAGTATAAAGAGGACATTTAGCAAAAGGATCCACTTGCCATAACAATTAAAAGAGAGAGAGAGAGAGAGAGAGAGAAAACCAATCATGTAGGATTAAAAAATTAAAATGAAATGATATATCACAACCAACACCATAAAATCATTGACAAATTAACTAACATAAAGTCAAAAGTGATTGTGTGACAGAGAATCTGGCGCAGTACACAAGAATTTTATATAGGCAACTGATTGTGGAAAAGACCTAGTCTCAAACTCGACAATGATGATCTCTATCTCCCAACAAGAAGCAGAAGGTAAATCACCAACTAAAACTTAAACAGATAATGTGCACATGATTAGGCAATAAAATCACCAGATGATGATGAGATCACATGGTAAAAAGAGAACCACAGCGTGGCAGCGTTAAGAAAAAAGGTAAACAGATCAAAATTGATTTCATCTTCATGAACTTCGATCTATGCCAAAGTTCTTAAAATTGCAGAAACAAATAGGGACCTAAAACCTCCACAATCCAGCATCTTGTTTTAAAGGTAGAATGAGAATAAATATTCAGTCAAAATTCAATGACAATGACGTAATGCGGAATTTTTGAAAAACTGAAACAGAAAAAAAAAATGCTACGATCAAATTGTTAAGATTCATATTGCTTTGACTCAGCAGTAAAGCAGAAAATCATGTCAAATTGAAATCTAGGAATTGCATAGAAAACGTTATAAGCAATCCAGATCTATCACCTCACCATCCACATTTTTAATTCTTATTTCGTACTTACAATTTCTCGATCGAACAAGAAAGCAACAATTGATCAAACGTAATCGAGATTAAATCGTAAATCGATAATTATGCAAAATCAACCAAATTGCTCTAGGCAAAGACAAAAGGAAATCATCTAAATTCAGAAAGCAGGAAGGTTAACGGAACAAAAAAAAGAGAGGAAAACCTTGAAGGCATGACGAGCTTTGCAGCCCATGAGTTGAAGAGTGCTCTGAAGAACGGGTCGCGTGTATCGAAACGACGACGTCTCCTTCTCTCTCTTCTCACCTTCGTCCACAACAACTATATACAACACCTTCGCTAACTCTGCCATCGCTCTCTCTGTGCGCACCAAAAAGAAACAAAAAACAAAAACAAAAAATCCAAATCAAAACGTCAGCTTTGTTATGCAAGGCAATGTAGGAGGAACAATGAAGAGTAACTAAGAAATCGTACCTGAATATTTACAGCGAAATCAACAAAATAAAGAAGAAGAAAAAGGTGACCGAACGGGAAAAAGAATAAAAAAAGCAGAGATTGTTAGGGTTTGGATTTCCTATACACCATGAAACGAGAGAAACGCCATTTAGAAGAAAAAGAAGAAGAAGAGAAGAAAAGCAGACGGAAAGGATCGCTGGCCATGTCTTGGTCGTGTCACCACTATTCCACGCATCACGCGAGCAGAGCTTCCACGAGTCCTTTCTTTTTCTTTCCTTCCTCTCTCTCTCTCTCTATATTATGCAAAAACCGCCCTCGGGGAAGAATGCGGGGAGAGGGGATTCAGAATGACAGATATCGCCTCGGGTTGGGACAAGGAATTACGGAGATGCGCGACTTTTGTTTGGAGGAAGCAACGGGGGAGAGAGGGGTATTTATATAAGAAAGAAGATGAAAGGGAGTTAGCAGAGTGCGGGCCCTCTGAGGGGAGCACGAGCATCGAGGAATGGCAAGAGAAGTAATTTTATAAGGAGACTGAGGGTGAAACGATGAACAAATTACTTTGTCCTTGTTGTGTAATTAAGGAAAAGGGAAAGGAGGACATAGAAAAGGACTTCTCACGTAAATACATAGTTTTTGTTTTTTATTATTTATTAATTTTAAATTTTTTATCGATTTTTAACGAGTACGACCTCGAAAACTATGTTTTAGACCGTCGTAGCTCATAAATAAAAGAGTAAACTTCATTTACATTTAAAAGTTTTTTCACATGATAATTTATGGTTTTTTATTTTCATTTAATATCATACAAATATTTTTTATAAATAATTTATAAATAATTTCTATTCTCACAAAAAAGTTAAATTGTTAATTTTTCTTTATATATTAAAATTTTTTAATTAAAATTAATATATTTATTCTACTTAAGAGTGTTTCTGACAATTTTATTAAAAGAAATAAAAGTATAATTTTTTATAAAAATAATACAAAGTGTTAATTAACTAAAAATATTCACGTGATACTAATTGATATAAAAGACCCTATTGAAAAAAATAAAAACCACAAAAAATGTAAATAAAATTTACCTTAAATTCAAAAACTTAACAATTTAATCATTAATTAACAATAATTAATTTCATTAATTACATAATTGACTTTTAACTTTGACTTTAGTGTTCCATAACTAATTAAGGTGTCCCTTTCATTATTCGGATATCTTTTTAAGTTATTGTCTTTTGAAAGTTTGTAGAATAAAAAAATGAGAAACCGAGTGAGATTCTTGTTATATATTATAAAATAAAAATATTCTTTTTTTTAATTATTAAATTCAAAACTTAAGCACGTTATCTTACATTATAATTATTATGGAAATTAAAATTAAAATCTTGTCTTTTAATTCTTTTTTTTTAATTCTTGTTACATTATAAAATTAAAATAAAAAATCTTGATATAGAACAACTTTAAAAGAAATCGATAATTAATCATCGCTAAACAACTATAGACCAATGGAATTTGAATTTATTCAAAGTTAGAAAAATAAATAAATAAATTTTTTATAAAGAATTATAATATTTCTCTATATTAATATATTCGACCATTGGCAATAAATCTCAAAAAAGGCAAAGGATAATATAGTTTTATGGTTGCAGCATATCCCATTTTAATTTCTTTGTAATGATGTGGTCCAATACCCTATAGTTTAAGAATTCACTAGCTTTTTAAATAATTAACAAATTTTAGATGATTCTTCCTTCACTAACATATAAATATTTTCATCCTCAAAAAGAAAAAATATACAAATATTTTTTTATATTTTCGGAAAGAAGTGTGAACCCAAAACTTTTTATATAATAAAAAACCTTAAATAATAAATAAAAATTTGAATTATAGTCGTTCATGTAATTAAATTTTTTATGATATTAAACTAATTTTTTATTTGAATTATATTTATATAAATTTTTAATTTTAATAAAATTTTAATTATTATTAAAATTATAATATTTTTTATTTATATGATGTACCAGATGACACTTTCTGTGGTCACTTCTCAGTAAATATTTGATAAAATCGACTTTTGACAATGTCCCTCCACCGACCCGATCCACGATGGACAACCTTCGACCGAAACAAAAGTGCTGATAACATCCGACAGCGGGTGACAAAACTCTAGAGCACCGGCTTTAATATCAGACACGTGTTGCAAGTTTTCTGTTGACACATGATTTGCATGCGAAGTCACTTAGTGTGAAGTTTTTAATTAATAAGTGAAGTTAGATGATTAATTGGCATTCAAGGTATGTTTATGGAAGTTAATTAATAATTATTTAACCTCTTTTGTGAAGTTTAAAATGATTTTATTTTGATGTATAAGATGATAATAATTAATAAAAGTAAATTATCATTTTATGTACATAAATCATAAAATTTTTAAATTTCATGATTAAACCTTTCGAGATTTTTGTATTTAATAAAAATACACAATCTTTAAATTACATAAAATTTAGTTCATAGAACTCTTTATTACGAATATACACACTAAGAGACACAACCCCTCAAACTCGAATCGTTAAGTTGTATTTTTTGAAAACCATGATCTTGAAAAGAAATATATAAATTTTATTGATTTTGTAAAATTTTTTGATGATTTTATCATATTTAATTTCAATTAAATAAAAAAAATCAAGAGTTGAGACTTTAAGACTGGTAGAGAAAATTAGGAAACACTATAAATGTTATACAAAACATTTAATTTCAGCCACTTCTTTATGGGTTGGGCTGTTTGGGTCCCATCCTTTATTCAAAAATATTAATAGAATAATAATATATTATAATATAATATGGGCCCATAAAATAAATCATGTATGGTATTTTGATCATGTTGTTGACGTTCCACTTTCACCAACGTTTAATACACAAATATAAGAACAGAAATTTTTTGCCAATATATTTACTTGATGTTTCTTTCATTATTTTATGCCATGTATTTTAAAAAAATTTTACATTAAAATTTAGGATTTTAAAATATAAAACTTTTTATTATTAATATAAAACATTGAATATACGATACAAAACTATTGAAAAAAGTACCAAGCCACGATACATCAAATAAGTGCAGAAAATTTATGTTCTAAATGCAATAAGAGTTTTTTTAAAATAAATAAATAAAGTAAAGAAGATTAAAACTCTATTTGCATATTCCGTGGTTTTAATTTTTCTCACATGACATCTTGTTATTTTTTCTCAATTATCATCTTTTGAATATGATTTTTCTCAATTAATATTTTTGGATATAATTTTATTCAATGAAATTATAAAAATAATTTTAATTGTAAATAGATTGATTAACTTTAAATTAATGGTATTTTGATCATTTTTCTCGATTAATCGTATTACCCTACGACAGAACATAAATTATTCATAAAGTGCTAATGATAAAAAAAAATACCCACATGATACAAATTAAAAAAGAACACACAATATCGATCCAATTTTAATAATATTTTCCTTTAACTAAGGTTAATTTTTTTTCCCCTCCTTTTGTGCTTGTTTCCTATTTGATTTTGATACAATTTGAGTGAGAAAGCTCCCCTGACCCACTCGGCTTTAATCAAATAATCTTTTATAATTAGTCTAAATCGGATATTAACACCCTTTGAAAACGACCCGGCACCTTCTTCCAGTGCTTTAGTCGCTCCATGACTTTCCCAATCTTCCAGTTGTCTATCTTTATTTTTGCCTCACTCTTTGTCTCTCCTCTTTTCTTTCTTTAATGGAACTTTGGGGAGGGAGGACTTGGAAAGAGTCAAAAAGGGTTTGAAGCTCTTTGGCTTTTACGTTAACGACTTTAACTGTTCCCATCTTAAAGAATTACTTTGCAAACCGCCCATGCATAGGACCAAGCCTAAATTAAAGTCTACTTGAAACAATTGCACAAGGAAAGGCTAATTGACTTTGTCTCCGCTCCCCCTTGAGTCAAGGAACTTTCCCACGTTCAGTTTGCCGACTTGTAGCTCCATGGGATCGATAATTGGTACATGGTAATCGAATTCAACCTGAGTCGTTATTTATTAATTTTGGAATATTAAATTCATCAGACGAATTGATGCACTGATTCATGGCCTAACATATAAAAAAATTCATAAATTATTAAAAAATTTTAAATAAAGTTTTATATTTTTATTATATTTAATTATATTTTTATATTTTTATTTTAAATTAAATAAATTTTTATAAATTTTATTTCAAATCAAATAAATGTTTATAATAATGATTGATTAAGTTAAAATATTATTTATTATTTTATATTATATGATATAAATATGATATGTTAAAATATCAATTATAATTTGATATATTAGTATATTATAATTAATAATGATATAACATGTTAATTTGATATAACAGTATAATTATGTGATATTTTCATATTTCATATTAATATCATGTGAATAAAAAATAATAAGTAATATTTTTGTTAAGAATAATTAATTAATTATTAATTATAAAAATTTATTTAATTTAAAATAAAAATAAAAAATTAATTAAATATTTTTAAATAATTAAAGCACTTATAACATTATATTTTAATTCAATTGATAAGTTCCTTAAACCGATGTGACTGGGCATAAATGCCACGTATCTTATACCGCGTTAGAAAAAATTATGCGAAAGAAAAGAAGAAGAAAACACTCTAATGGTCCACGTGTTCGTTAGCTTGATTGCCACGTATAAAGTCTAAGAATAGTAAATTGGAAAATTAAAAAAAAAGGAAAAATGAAAACCAAAGGAACACAAACAGTATGTGCACACATTTTAATGAGCTAACCCAAACTTTTGGCTGTTCCTCGAATGGAAAGTTTTCAAATATTGCAGCTCAATGGCGGTGTTCGTGTCTGTGATCGGACCGCGTCGTAACATGATTTGTTTAATTTATTTTAAATATATTAGGTTTAAGGGTGAATAAAGGTGCTGATTAGTCTCTTTTTTAAATTTGTATTAAAATTTAATTTTTATTTTAAATTAAATTATTAATTTAATTTATAATTTTATATAATTATCCGTTAATCACTTGTTGTACAAAATTTTAACTTCATCATTATTTACATACACATATAATAAATACATTAGTATGTTTAAAATATTAAATTATTGTGTGAAGAATATTTGTTTGTGTAGCTTACCATTGACATTGTCAAATCGACCGGTCTTGATTTGTACCTATAAAAATATTCCACTTACTATAATTAGCCTCAAGTCATATATTCCAGAGCAAGAAGAAGCAGAGCTTTGTCAAGCTACGATCTACAAAAGAATCACCCAAATCAGTTCCAGCACACAAAAAAAGACTTGGAGGGTCTATATCAATTGTTGTTGTAATTATGGGAAAATAAAAAAAAAATCAAGAAAAAAAATTAA